CCTCAAAGGTGACAAGGCAGCAAACAGATCCCTTAGCTGTTTTCTCCAGACTCAGTTTAGGCCGGACACATCTTCCCTGTTAGTACTTTGTGTTTGGGGAGCTGTTTCCCACAGATCATGTCCTGGGACAAGAGAAGCAGGGGAAGATTGTTCCCAGGGCCCCTGCCCCCAACCATAGGCCCACCATGGGTGGGCCACGTGTCTGCCTGGCATGTCCAGATCAGAAGCCAATTCAGTACAAAGACGGAAGAGTCTAGAGAACTTCAGTCTGACAACAAATTATCAAGTTGTGATGGTTTTGCCCGATGTGAACCCAGGTAGATTTCCAGGATCTGGGGAAGGAGTCAGGGCCAGAGAGGAGCGCGTTCACGGGGCTTTGACCTCAACCTCCAGCCAACAGCACTGGACCAGGGGTGCTGGTCCAATCAACTGGGCATCCTTTGGGACAGGGATGGAGTAAGACTCTTTTTTGGATCCCTAGCCTTCAGCACAACACATGACATACATTGGATTATTATTAACTTTTCACTGATTGAGTTAACAAATGGCTGGAGATGGACGAACCGAATGTGAACAATTCTAGTGTAAAATGGTATCATGAGCGAGACCACCCTCCCATCACCTCCTAGTCAGTGACTTGGGCCTTCTATTCACACCTTCTCCTTTCCCAGGAATCTGAAGTGCTTCAAGAAAACGGGCCACACTTGCTAACGTAAGATGTCCCAAATTCTTCCAACTGACACTTCAGGGAACAAGAGAATTTGCAGGTGGAGGGGCTGGTCTCCCCAGGGCCAGCGCTTCCGAGATGAAATCATTAGGGCTTGACAGTTCCACCTGTCTCCTGAACTAACAGAAATACTTCTTATAAAGGGCTGAGCCTGGTTCAGAGCACCTAGCAAGCTCCTCAGCAGGTTAGCATCGTTGTGGCCATCATCGCTGGTGATACAGACACCACTTCAGTGGACTCTAACTCCTTCTACTTTCTGTGTTACGTGAGAGAACGGGACTTCCCCACTGTTGCTCTTGCCTGCCGAGCACAGGTTTCCATCTCTGAGAAGGATAGAGGCCTCTCTCTTTGTCTTTGAGACAGAGAGAGACAGAGCATGAACGGGGGAGGGTCAGAGAGAGGGAGACCCGGAATCTGAAACAGGCTCCAGGCTCTGAGCTGTCAGCACGGAGCCCGACGCGGGGCTCGAACTCACGGACTGCGAGATCATGACCTGAGCCGAAGTCGGCTGCTTAACCGACTGAGCCACCCAGGCGCCCCGAGGCCTCTCTCTTTGAAGGACAGAGCCCGGCAGGGTCAGTGGCTGGTAACTGTGCCTCCAGCATGTGTTCAGCCCGGTTCAGGCTGGACTGTGGGGTTGTGCACCCTGGAGGGACCAAACAGGCAGCTGGGCCAGGCTTCACATCCCTGCCTGGTGTCTGCCTGATGGACCCTCTGGACTCCCACCCTGCCCCCCTACACACACACATACACACACACACACACACACACACACACACCCTCCCCGGCCTGAGGCTCTCAGTGAAGGCTCCAGTGGGGAAGGTGCCCTCACTCAGCCCATGAGACTCAGTCACCTCCAGAGTCACAGGGTAGACACTCTTCCAGGCTGTCAGCAGCACCTGTCCCCAGCACGGACCCTGCAGGCCTCCCTATGTGACCTAGGAGACTGGGGTCAAACCATTCAGACAGATGGGACTTCAGGCCTTGACTAAACAAGATACAGGGTAGAGCCTGAGTTACTACCTTCAACGAGCATGATGCCCACTTAGGTAAAACAGGCCTAGCAGGAGAGAATTTTGTTGTTGAACAAAACCTGGGTTGATCTGTTCTGACCCTCTCGTTTTGTAGTTGAGGGCACCAGGAGCCTAAGCTGTGCCCAAAGTCAGAGAGGGAGTTTGGAACAGAGGCAGGACCAGACCCCAAGTCTTCCCTCATGACTCTACTATGCTTTTTTTTAAGGTCTAGCTTTCATCACAGGGGAATTATCACACCTTGTTCAGGCAGGCAGGAACTTGGAGGTTGGTGCTGCTGGCATCTAGTGGGCCGAGATCAAGGGTGTTGCTAAATATGGTACAACGCATTATTAGAAGCCCCTGCAACAAAGACCTGTCATGCCCAAGACGGCAGCTTGGTTCGCTGTCAGTGGGGGTAGGTTACCATCGAGGCTAATCATTCAAACCTCCAGGAAAAGTGGAATCGCAAGAGGGGGGAACATGGATAGCAGAAACAGGCTATATAATTTGATGATTCCACTATTTGGTGAGAAAACAGTACCTTTTTTCTGACACCAAATCTATGGAGTTTCTACACACGGACAACCAATTCTCTGACAATCAACTGGGCGCCCAGCGATTTAGCTCAATTTGGACACTGCCTGCCAAGCGGGAGTTAACACAGACACCACAGGTTAAGGGCTCAGTCCGACAGAAGAAAATGCACGAACACCAAGGTAAGCAGTGAAACTGTGGGTCATTCTGCGTTTTAGAAATCTGATATTTGCAAACCCGCAGACCTGAAGAGTCAGGGTCTTCTAATGAAAATCTGATACACAAGAGCTATCCAGGCAGAGCCGATTAATTAGGTGTGATGGACCTTCACAGAAAGCCCCAAACCCCAAATGTTTCACATCTAAATTTTGTAGACTTCGTTAGATACATTTTTTTGTTAAGCACTGTGTGAAACAATGGGATTTCTGGTTTCTTTCTCCACCCCACAGTGACTCACATGCATCTTTTATAATGTGCCCATGCCATGGTAGTCCGCTTGCAAGAAAGAATGTGTTAATGAGTCTATTTAGGGATTTTCGAATGGAAGCCCTTCCAGGAACGCAGAGTCGCTGTTCTTTTTTGCACATGGAAGCAGGTGAGCTCCAGCCCTCATCCCCAGTCAGCCAACAGGGTGGGAATGCTGCGGCTACTGATGGGGGCAGAACAGAGACAGAGGGAGTCTCCAGGCGAGGACCCATCTTTGAAGAAATCTCTCTAACTCCTAACTTGACCCAGGTGTGCCAGGGATACAGTAAGACTCCGGGTTTGATGGGGAAACAAAGAAGCGATCATTTTCTGATTCCCAAGACTCCTCCCCGTCTCTCCAAATTTTCAGTCTGACTCAGCTCCCAGCAAAGCAGTAATGGGTCTGAGCTGATCAGTGGCGAAGGAAGGGGGTATCTTTCCTGGTGCCTGCTTGCATGCCGTGAGAAGGGCTCACGGTGGTCACTCCACCTGTGGCCATCTTTGACGCCGACTGCTCAGCTGGAACCCCAGTTCTGCTGCTGGCTAGCAGTGGGACCTGTGGCAAGTTCCCTCACCCTTGTGCCTCAGTTTTCACCTCTGTCAAAAGAGGTCATATGCCAGCATTACTCACGAGAGCCAAAAGGGGGAAGCAACTCGAATGTCCATCATCGGATGGATGGATAAACAAGAGGCGGCACATCCACACAGTGGAATGTTATTCAGCCTTAACAAGGAAGGGAATTCTGAAACAAACATGCTACCACACGGATGATCACTGAGGACATCATGCGAAGTGAAAAGACAAATCCTGTCTGATTCCATATACATGCGGTACCTAGAGTAGTCAGATTCATAGAGACAGAAAGCAGAATGGCGGCTTCCAGGGGCTGGGGGAGGAGGGAATGGGGAGTGAGTGTTGAATGGGTGCAGAGTTTCACTTTTGCAAGATGAAAAGAATTCTACAGATGGTTGGTGGTGATGGCTGCACAATGGGAATGCACTTAATGCATTCTGTAGTAGATCAGAGGTTCTCTACCACGGTGCCCCCCTCTCTCTGCCTTCAACAACGACCTCTCAGGCCAGAATGTCAACAGGTGGGAGGAGCCCTAGTAATAAAGTCCCGGCACAAAGTAGCTATCGGTAATCAGCTGCTGTGATTTTTATTTAGTTTGCATGAATTTATCATGTGCCTGCTCCAAAGGAGACCGTTAACTGATGCGGAAGCACCCAGTTGGGCCACCGGTGACAAACAGGGCTTGAGGGTGAGGCCTGAGTGTCCAAGGGCACACGGCAGTCTGTGGTCATCAGTTGAACCAGAGAGGTCTTTCTCCACAAATTTGGGTTATTGATTTTATATTACTTTATTTTCTTTAAAGCACATTAATTTGGACTGTAAACCGTTCTCCCTCCGGGCAGGTGGCAAATTCAGCCTGTCCTTACCGGTGCCTCCCGCTGCACCCACCCTGGGCAGAGACAGGGCCAGGCTTCCAAGGAGCTCCTCCGGCCCGCAGGCTGCCCCGGGCTGGCCCCAGCGGCCCCCGGAAGGCCCAAGGTGCTGTTTCTGCCTCTCCGCTGCCTGGGAAGCTGTGATCAGGAGTCCCAGGGTTGGGGTCCCAGCCTCCCCACCCCTCATGAAGTCATCGTCCTCTCCTCCACGGCTCTGGCCTCTCCGAGCAGAATTCGGTCACAAGCTGGGTGGCAAGCCGGCCTTCAGCGTGGGCCTACCTGGAGGCGGCTCAGGGCACAGCTGCCTGGCCAGGGACTGGTCTGTCCTTTCGGCTCCCAGATGCCCTCCCACACGGCCCGTGGTACCTTCCTCCTTTGTCAGCTGGCTGGACAAGAAGGGCCCGAGGGGGCGTGGAAGGGAGGAAGACAGGGAGGCACAGCGCCTGACTTTTCAGCCTCGCTCCCCCAAAGCCCTTTTGCAGGCGGCCTTTCTTCAGCGGGTTCCCCCCTCCCAGCACAGGCACATGCCCAGGGGTCCCCGCAGCTGCAGGGGTGAGGGGGTGGTGCTCAGAGCTGGAGTTGCAGCTGAGCCAGGCCCTTCCTGCAGCCCAGCGGGTTCTGAGAGCGCCCACCTCTTCCCTTTGCTCCTGGCCCGGGGACCGTCCTGTTCCTCGGGGGGCTCCCTCTCCCGCTCTCATCTGCAATGCCCCCGATTACAGTCACTGTGAAACTGTCCAGTGAGGCTTCTAGCTGCTGTCCTGAAGCGGTGTGTGTGTATGTGTGTGTGTGTGTGTGTTTGTGTGTGGCGGGCATGGCTACACGGTCCCCATCCAGCACACGCAGAGCACTGATGTGTGGACTGTGCTGTCGTCCCAACCGCCCAGGCCCAGAATGATCATTTTGGAGCTGTTAGAAGACCACCAGATGGTGGGCTTCCTTTGCGCCAGCACGTTCAACTCGTCACTGTCACCTGTCCAGACTGTCAAGGTGCAACAAGGCAGTTTGCTGTTTGGCCTGCAGAACTTGCTCTCCCCTGAAAGGCTGATGGCCTGCAGACCACAGTGTTCCTCTGTGGTCCCGTGAGAAGCACCAGCCTTACAGCCCCAGGTGACATCTCTCGAGAGGGGCAATGTAACGATGGACGGAAAGCGCTTTGCACAACACCCAGATGTTTTAAGAGGCAGTCTTTTTTTTTTTTTTTAAAGTTCATTTTGTGACAGAGAGAGAGGGAGAGCATGTGTGCATGTGAGAGAGGGACAGAGAGAGAGAGAGAGAATCCTAAGCAAGTTCTGTGCTGTTGTGCAAAGCCCCACGTGGGGGGGTGGGGCGCCTGGGTGGCTCAGGCGGTTGAGCGTCCGACTTCGGCTCAGGTCATGACCTCACGGCTGTGGGTTCGAGCTCTGCGTTGGGCTCTGTGCTGACAGCTCAGATTCTGTGTCTCCCTCTCTCTGCCCCTCCCCTGCTCGCCCTCTTTCTCGCTGTCAAAATAAATAAACGTTAAATTTAAAAAATTTAACAAAACAAAACAAAACAAAACAAAGCCCCACGCAGGGCTTGATCTCAGGATCTGTGAGATCGAGACCTGAGCCGAAATCCAGAGTTGGATGATTAACCGACTGAGCCACTCAAGAGCCCTGGGGGCAGCCTTGATATTAAGGTTTATGATTGCAGGGCCCACATTTAGCCAGTGGAAAGAACTCAAAGGGGCCAAATGTAAATAAGGACAGGAGACAAGCAATACCTGCGACTCTTGGGAGGGTATAAGAAGCAGCACGTGGCCAGGGGATCTACCAGTGTGTAAACCCCGATTTTAATAGGTTCCAAGAGTCGTGTCACTCAGTTTTTTGTTCCTCACACCTCTTCTGGAACTTGTGTCTGTCAGGGGTACCAGCTCCACCCCATACCAACCCCCAACCTCCCCGCACAGGCTGAGCTCCTGCTGCCATCTTGTGGCAGTTTTTATGAGGGACACCAGACAGGCAAAGGCACTGTTCCCCCCTGGTTAGGCTTTTATTTGCAGATTGGAAGCTTTCTGGACTCAGCTCTCATTTCATTTATGAGCAGAAGGAAAAGCCGCTCCTCGGCACATACTGCCCCTTGACAGGGCCTCACTTCGGATGGAGCGCCCACCCTGCTCCTGCCATGGGACTCGCAACAGTCCATAGTCGAGGGCTCCTTGGAACCCATCCACTGGCCTCCAGATCGATATGACCCACTCCCAGCTGCTTGAGGACCACTCAAAGGCTGCTCATCCCCTTCAGTCTGCTCCCACCTCCTCTCCTCACTACCTGGCCAACAGCTGGTCAAGCCACACCCCCACCTGGCCAAGTGCCGGGTCTTCTAGGGAGGAAAGAGGCTTCGTGTTGGAGGAGCTCTAAGAGCCCATCAGTGCGTACTGGCAGAAGCGAGGAGAATAGACAAGAGACTGGATCTGGAGGGTGCTGAGTTGAGAGAAACAGAATATAAAGTTGGATAAGAGAGTTTATCACTATGAGAATGCTCTCCTATGATAGAAAACTGATACCCTGGCAAAGACCCTCAAAAGTACGGAGATATGCCGTTAGGTTGTTTCCTAAGAGCTTGGAAGAGGCAATAGTCCATACTAAGCATACCAGAAATGCCAGAATCGCCATGGTAAGTGGTGGAGAAAGGAACCCAAGGTCCAGAGAAGTGGGTATGTTAAAATGGGTATATCACCTAAGGTCAGAACAACCCCCCAAAAGAAAACCCACCAACTATGTTCCATGGGAGGGAGGGCCAGAAGGAAGCTTTGTTTAGCAAAACGATACGAAACGTGTTGGTGATGGTGGCACGAATACTACTGAAGCAGCTCTGTGGCAGCTGTCCTCTGTGGGCCAGCGCTGAGACAAGGAGATACCGTCACAGAACTAGCTTCCCTGATGGCGAAGGGATGATAGAGTCTCAAACTGATAGAGGCTGAGAAGCATACGGCAGCAGAAGCAAGGTGGATGCAATTATTGTTATAAGGAGCAAAGTCAGCTACAATAGCCGAGTGCAGAGAGAACACAGAAACGGCTAATAGAACAGGGCATTCTGAAGAGCAGCCAACAAGGGTATCCGTGCAATCTATACAATCAAAAGAAATCAAGGAGCAGGAGGCAAGTACCCCAATTAAAAAAAAAAAAAATCAGAATCTGTTGCCTAATTCCTGAACCTGGAACTCAGTGACTCGAAGGGAAAGCTAGGCCCTCAGAAGGAAGTACCCTGCAATACCACACAACACCTATGACCAAGGCAGTGGGGATATGCCCCCGATAACCAGCTTACAGAAGAGAGGAAAACAAGCCACGTTTGGTTCACAGATAGGCCGCATCCAGTCACTCACCTTCTGTAGAAACAGAACAAGCCTGAGGCCAGAAATAAAACATAAACTCACGGAAGTGGCAAATGGCTTGGCTGGTTGGCCAGGCGCCTAGAAGGAGAAAGAGGGTGAGGGACAAGGGTAGAGGCATGTGGATGGATGGATGGATGGATGGATGGATGGGAGTGGACATGGAGTATAAGGATCTTTGAATGTATGTCCATCGTCACCAGACCGCATCTACTATGGAAGAGGCACCAGCCAACCAAATAGTCCAAATGATTCAGCCAGTTGATATCAGCCATTTCTTCATCAGCTCCTGTGCTGGCGAAATGGGTGCATAAAAGGAGTGGCCATTGTGGCAGCAATGGAAGCTATGCAATGGGATTCCATTTACCAAGCCTGACGTAGCTCATGATGCTGCCAAACCTTTAACCCGAGTGTTACAATCACTGCTGAGGCCTTGATACAATACCCATCCCTCAGGGAGAATAAGCATCCACTTGATGGCAAGTTGACATATTGACATATGTTCTAGGTATGGTTCTTGCCTTTCCTGTTTGTTGGGCTTCAGCACTATGATCATATGAGGGTTTACAGTGTTAGACCCATCAAAATAGGGCCCATTTAGCACTGAATCAAACAAAGGGACTTTACAGCAAAGAGGGTAGAACAGGGGGCATGTGGCCGTGGGATCCATGGTTATATCACATACGGTAGAAGCTGCTGGTCAGATCAAACAATTCAATGGGCTTTTAAAGGAGCAGCTGAGGTACCAGCTTGGAAATTACATCCTGTGAGGGTGGGACGCCATCTTTCAGGATGTAGGATATATCCTCAATCAATGGCCATTCTAGTGGTCCTGAGACCCCAACAATACATGAGACTGGGAACCAACAGGTAGAAATGGGAATGGCTCCATTTACCATCTTCATCAATGACCCACTTTGGGAATTTGTGCTTCCTACTCCCATAGCTGTAGGCTCTGGGTCTAAAGAACCTGGTTTCCAAAGTGGGGGAAACTTCCACCAGGGGATACAGCAAGAATCTCATTCAATTTTAGGCTCTGTCTGTCACCTATTCACTTTGGCTTCTTTGTGCTAAGAGACCAGTGGGCTAAGAAAGAAGTCACCACCACACTGGAGGTAATTGACCCAGACCATCAAGACGCAGGGCAGCTGTCACACAACAGGGGCAGGAGAGAACACACCCACAATCCAGGTGATACACTAGGGTTTCTCCTGGTAGTCCTTTACCCAATTCAAATGGAAAAGAGTCAAGTATAGCAGTCACTGCTTCAGAAGAGCATGGTGGACCAGGGGCTTAGAGCCCTCAAAGATGAGGGAGTCTGGATCACCCCAACTGGTAAACCTAGGGGTAAGAGCAGGTAAGCAACTAGACTAGGAGAGGTGCTAGTCAAGAGAAAATCTCCAAAGGGCAGAAGAAGAGATCTGTGGATATGAGCAGTACAAGAAGGGTAGTGGATGCTGTGGTGTTCTGCCCAGATTCCACTTCAGGATGGGGGTCATCTTACACCCAACCTGCCAGGAGTGTTGTCCTCCCCAGGAAGTGTGCCCTCGGTGTCTTGTTTTGATTGAGAATATCTCAGAAGGGCCACCCAGCTCCAGAGCTCACCCATGGACTTCGATTAAAGCCATTGCTCTGACTGCATCACAGTTCAATTTCTTCCTCTGTTCAATCCAGCTTCTTGTGCTCCCTCACGCGTACTGTTCCCAAGAGCATGACCCAATACACTTCCTTGCAAAAAGCAGGCTCAGAGTCCGCTTCCACAGAAGCTAACTCACTACGGCCACTAACTTGGTCCAGGCCAACTGCCTCAAGACTGAATTACCACAACAACCTCCAATGACCTCCTCAAGACTTCCCTTGCAATTCAAACGTCCTGTTCACTGCTTGGGGCGGGGGGGGGGGGCGAGGAATTTACTTCCATCATGCCACTATTACATGTATTATCTCAGGTGAATTACTGAACATCAGGTAGAAAACACTTGGATGTCAATGGAAAACTATATGCATAGTCTATAGCGCACGCTTCTGTCTTAGATTCTGATTCTGTGGGAGTTATTTTATAACTTTATAAGCTGTTGGTAACTGGTAAGACATAAATTCTGTCCCTTCTAATAGAAGTTCAAATGACTCCCTCTCTCTAAAACAAAAAAATTATCTCCAATTTACAATTCATTTCAATGTTCCTTTACTCCCTGTAACTGTGTTTTAGAAAACTTAACTTTGAACCTATTATAACATGTGGTTAGTTCTCCAGATTAAGGCATCAGATAAAGTCTTGAACATGTGTACATTTTTATACCTAGGAGTCATGATTTTATCCTTTCCTGAAAGTTACCTTTTAACCCTTAATTTCAACATATGTAAGATAACAGTAAAGACACCTGGCAGGTTTGTTGTGAATTATCTGTACACAGTAGGGACTCACATCTTATTGCAATCAACCCTTTTCAAAGAAAATCATTATAGCATTATAGAGAGTTCTTTCATTGTAACTTGCAGTGGAAATGGAATGTTATTTCCCAGTATCTTCACTCTGGCAAGAGTTATCATATATCAGTCCTTTGCCATAGACATGCCAGGCTTTTCTTTTCACTAACAGATCTATTGGTCCAATCAGCCTACCGTTGTAATTTATTCTCTGTTCTTGAATATGGGATATTTCCGAGATCAATGTATTTACAACAATCCTTTTCAGGCTAAATGCATACCCATTTTAAACTTCCTTTTTAGGGGCGCCTGGGTGGCGCAGTCTGTTAGGCGTC